AAAGAGCACACTGGGAAAAAAAGAAAACGGTTTCAATATATTTTTATGGTTTGGGCTAAATAAACCTTCAAAACAGCAATAAGTGGTAAACACGCTTCTGTGTTTTTAGCTCCACTGGTCAGCCTGTTGGTTGGTCCTTCACTTTGGTCCAGATTGAACAGGAAGCAATTTACGGTGCCCAGCGGATGCCTCTTACTGACTTGAGTGATTCTGAGAATTTTCTGAAATCCCACCGTGACCTCCATATTTGCTGTTTTTAGTGAAATGTCTTGAAGGCGACTGGTTAAATCATATTTTGTATAGACATCGCCTCCCAGAAAAAGAGTAATGATATTGGCCCCTTCCTTTATTCATGGCCAAATGACTGTAAGCTAACTATAAGCATGCAAATGTGTCTAAACTAAGTTGGTTAAAAAAGGCAGCGTCTCAACATGGTCATATAACCATGTTGGCATATTTTAGGGGAGGGTGTTCTAAACTCTGCTGAAAGGCAGTTAACCGCAGAACTAGCAGTTAATTTGTCTCATGAGGCTTGGTGGCGGACAGGTAAAAGAATTCTGTGTAATTTGGGTGTCAGCCAACCTCCTCCTCTAATTTAGGGAAAATAAAGTTAAAAATGGTAAGTACATCATTCTAAGTGCACTCTAGATTTAGATCCGATAGGTCTCCCGTGAGGAGCAGTGTAGGTGCCGAGGTTCAGTGGCATACCGTCCCTGACAGTCTCTGTGCTTGGAGACAACAAAGGAGATGACCAAGTGACCCCAGAGGTTGATTTACGACGTGTCAGCAGGAGCAGCAGCGTATCGCCTCCCTTCCTCCCAGCAAACTGAGGATTTATCACCGCTCAGCGAGGACGTGTGCCAGGCAGCCCGATCCGGTCCGATTACAACGCGCTGCAGAGACCAGGGAACGTCTCTAAAGACCGGCCATGCATCACATCGCAACGAAAATGAAAGAACAAACGGTTCCATTACTACTTCACGTGGAAAGGTTCTGTTCTTCTTTGAGTAAAATGAGTACGATTTTTTAGGACGCGTTGAGAATCAACAAAGGAAACCTTAAATACTACAGTATCGCATGTCACATGAGAAAGCATCATATAAAACGTATAATGTACCAACAAACCCGCTATCTCAGCCCCAAGCACGAGATTCATGAGCAGTCTTGCTCTCAAAACACAAACACTGGCCCACTTGCCTCTAAGTAAAACAGAGATATAACCTTTGATAGTTCTGGCGCGTACAGCATTAACTTAATAGCCCTTTAGTGGATATTTGGTTGGTCGGTGACGTCAGGATAAAACACAGCTAACAGTCTGAGAAGCAAAAACTATTGATGCTTCAGTCAACATGATGTAATGTGAACATTGATATGTGTTGTACGTGACCACTGGTGGGGAAGTTAGTAAGATGCATTTTTGTGTAGCCAGATGAGAAAGATTTAAGATAAGATGAGCATTTGATGTGCAATGACAACAACTGCGTCTAAAATGTATTCTTGTTTAGTGTCTTCCTGTGGGAAAGTCCACGGGCACCATAGAACCCTTGGACCAAACCTATGAATCCCCAGAACCTGAGTGGTGATGTCCAGTGGAATCATGTTTCTTAGGTAGGTGAACCACCAACAGTCACTGAGCGGAGCTGCTCAGCTGCCAAAAATAACCTTTCAAAGCTGAAACAAGATAATGACTGTTTTGCCTCCCCAAAACAACATTTCTCGCCATAACACCTTGGTAATCACTGTTTGGATTTCTACAGTGTTTAATTTTTTAAACAACTTAAAGTAAAATCTGTGTTTTGTATCCAGGCTTTTATTTGTAATGTGTGCAGCAAAATATAGTTGTTATAGGACTATTTACTTACGTTGAAAATTCAATTGAGCAACGCTGTCTTGAAAGATTCTTTATAGAGTATTTTAAAACTACTAAATTGAGACAATGATCATTAGTTTATGGCTTGAGATGCTTTTTTCAACACCGATCTCTGCTCCGTTTTTCTTGGACATCATTCGCATTTGAAACAAAACTATCCTCTCACAAAAACAGGGTCTTTCGAAAAGGAAACAAACTGCGGCTCCAGAAACCAACAGGCACGTGTAACCTTAATCTAATGCTCACGCCGTGCACGGGGAGCTTCAGGTGGTCTGGAGAAAGTCCCATTCACACCTGGCTCAAACGCTCCCCTGTTCAGGCCACAATGGGAGCCTTTCTCTCCTTCACCTGACACTGAGTGTCCGAGGTCGGCAAAGTTCAGAAAGCACATGACTTTTATTTTAAAATCTATAAATTGTGGAAACGAATGCCCTCGTGTTTATTTGTGTTTGGCCGGGCTCTCGAAGCCCCGAGGCGTCGTTCTGCCTGCCGGCTGCCAACCTATTAGCACCCTGCAGAAAACCCTGGCAGCGCGGCCTCGGGGCGGCTGTTTGTTTGACTTTGTCAAAATTGAATTGAGACGCGGAGACTTTGTGGACGGCAGGCGAGGATGGGCACCGGCTCATTTTGAAGGGTGCACTTGTTAAATCTCTGGCCATCTCGGACAATGTTTAGACTGGGAAGGAGCTCCACACTTTGGACTCACGCTTGTGGGTGAGATCTGTATTACTAAAATGCTGAGAGGTCTTACGGTATTAAGCGACGCTTTGCATTCTTTCTGTTCCTAAATGCTGACTGGCAATCTCATGTAGTGGGAAGAATTGAATAAATATGGAAAAGGACCAAAGCCTTTGGGCTTGAGGACACTGGAATGTGCTTGAATCATGAAGGTTGTTGTCAGAGAATCCTTTTTGAATTCACTTGAGATCTTTTAGGGCCAGCAAGTCTTTGTGGTGTAGATTGTGGCTCCCAACTAGTTGGGTCGCCCAGCATATCCGATCATTAAATGTGGTCTCTATGCATGAGGATGGTTTTATTTGTACAGCTCACATTAAATTGGAGGTTTTCGCTCGGAAAATTACTGCTTAACAAATTCAATGGAGGTCAATTGAATAAATTACTTCCCAAATCCTTGTTTTTTTCACTGCAACTACTTTCTACCAAATGAAAAAGCAACTGAGCAGTGGAGCTCGTCCAACCGGTGACTCCGAACGCCGCTATCTGCTCAGTCTCAGCACACAGAATGTTAACTCTTTGTTAAAATTGTATTAAAAGACTAAAAGTTACAGAAATTGTCATAGGCTGATTACCCTATCGTAAATAACAAGGGTGTAAGATTAATCCCCTCTGAAGCTTAAGAAACTAAAAGGGTTCAATGTCTCTGGCTTGCATTCAGTGGAATCCCAAACCTTATTGGAAAAATGGGTCCTTGGTCCCCATGAATAATCTTTTCAAGAACTGTTACCGTTACCATTTTGGAAACTACAGAATGTCAACGTTTGGCAGGCTTTGGTTGAATGCAGGTTAGCAGACCGTGTGGAGAGCATGAAGGAGCTGAAAAGCGCTGCCTGGAAATGCTGTCTGGAAACTGTCCGACTATCATCTTTTATTGGTTTGAAAATTGGCTTCTTAAGAAACAATCGAGGTCGGGACGCTTCTTCTCTCAACTGCAACGCCAGTCTTACATCTCAAGTTGCTAATTGGACTGTAAATGATAAGCAGCGCTCGGAGAAGGAAGTCTCGGGCCGGAACATCCGGAACACATCACGTCCACGCCGGAACCCCGGAAAGGAAATACCCTCTAAGCGATTTACAGTAAGGTTACCAATGTGGATCTGTGTTGCTCGGCGGTATCTCGACCTGCACAGACGCTATGTTCAATTTTCCATCATAATAAATGTCACACAGCTGAATCTTCATCGAAAAGGCCAATAATTGTTCCAGGCAGCTGCAAGTGTATGGTTTGGAGCCACGCACAGGAGGAATCCGTCTTGTAAACCGATATGGCAGTCGAGTCATGACCTCAGTCTCAAAGCATGAGTTCTCAGTATGATCTTTGGGTTTAAAAGGATAACTAAGGCTAATTATGTGGAAAACAGAAGGCTCCGAGCTGAACAGATAGAAGCTTTAAAAGGTGTCAGCGTTGCCGTCTAAATGTCAGTGTCAAGTAACAGCTGCATGGTGCTCTGTCCAATTATATACGAGTTAAAAACGCCAAAACGCATTTAAGCGGACCATTAAAGCAACACTAATCTTTCAGGTGGAACTTTTTCATTGAATGTTCTATAATAAACCTGCTCTGAAAGGGAAATGTCATTCCCGTCTGCTTCTGCCTTCTACACAGGCAGAAGCATCAGAGCAGCTATCCTGCTGGCCTTATGATCTGCACCAAGTAGTTCAGATGGCAGGTGGTCTTGTTTAGCAAAGCTTTCCTGGCAACCCCCTGGAGGGGGGGGGAGCATGGACGGCTGGTTCCCCCCCGGGTCTCAGCTGTGAATGGGTCGAAGTGATAAAAGCTCCCACTCTGCTCAGTCCATTAGCTTTAACTACTTTTGGCTTATTACGAAGCCGTGTGTCAGGGTTGACGAGTTGGTATCTTAGTTTTACGGTAAACCCTCTGGATGGTTAGTCTGAACTACACCGCTTAGGACTACACTCTGCAGCAGTTTACTGGAAAGCAGTTCTCCAAAAATGCCTTAAAACTCTTTAAAGCCCACTGGAGGCACTTTCTTCATTTAAACATTAACACAAAATGCAGGTGGGGGGTGGGGGGAGACAATAGGCAGGATGAATAGCTTGGTTCCATCCTGTGGTTTTACAGGATAGGCATTTAAAAGTAGATTTGGAATAGTCACAGCTACATAACCAAAGGTTGGCCTAAACAAATATTGACTTTGAGACGCAAGCGCACAGGGTTAAGACAAGTTTTAATTTGTGGAAAAAACACTTATGGGGTTGCCCTTCAATGGCAGTTGAAGTATTGCCGATGTCAATGGTCGCTTCATGTTTATGAGGCAACCGAGCCATGATGAATTTGAAGATCTGGGGACTGAGAGGCGGCACATAGGGGGAACAAACTTTGAGCCTAGTGCTTCCTCTAGTGGTGAAAAACCGCAATGACATGATTGAGTCTGGTTGAAACCATTTAATAGAGGCTTTAAGAACAAGACAGTCAAGGACATAAAATCGTAGCTGTACACTTTACACAGAATTAAAAACACATTTTAAAAATAAAAAAACACACCTCTACACTGGCCCCTTTGTAGTATGCCACGCGTTTTAGATTAACGCTTCCCAGCAGTTTTAAAGCAATAAAAATAGCTCGTCTGGACGTGGGAAAATTATAGAAAGACTATGAATTTTAAAATATGGTCAGATACGCAGCCAAGATAGTTTGCTACAGACCTCAGGCTCTTCCCAAAATAAACTGCTAGTGTGGGGGCCAAGCTATATGAAGGGCCTGCGTTCAAATTACAACAGGAAAAATGAACTACTAGGCGCTCTCAAATGTGTTTTACGTTACTACTGTCCAAGTCGGCACATGGTGTCAACACATGCCCCTCCCCCCCCTCACTGAGGGAGCTGCGATGCCAAATCCTTCAACACCGAAGACTTTAGCTGCGAGATGCAGGCAATCCGCAGTTGTTTGGAAGTGGAGTACTTTCCTTTAATGGCCTGCAAGAACAGAAGGTTAGAATTTTAAGTTTCAGCTATTCAGTCCGGTGGCAGCTAGAGGTTGAGGGCAAACCGATGTTTGAAAAAGACTTACCATGTGCTTGGTCAGCCCATCATTCACCTTCACAACATTCTTGGCAATGTGTGACATCACAGGAATCAAACTCTCTGCGGTGTAGTCCATGTAGTGCTGCAGTGTCACATCCTGAGGAGAAACGACAGGTTTACCTCAAGACACCTCAATAGGCGTCGCTTCATCACGATTGTTTAGCAAATGCAGGGTGGCATGCAAGAAAGAATTCATTGAACTATGGACAATGTTGATTTGCACACAAACAGCCTTTCTGCGCCGGAGTACAGGAAACTCACCCAGTCGCCAGCGTCCAAGATCTTGAGGGTGAGAGCCAACGAAGCGCTTGCCACCATGGAAGGGGGGAAGTGAGCCATCTCATAGTCCACCATGGTGAGCTCCAGGAGGTATTTGGCCAGCGTGTGTTGCTCTGCAGTTACCTGGCAGCAGACAATTGAGGAACCCGGGGTGTTAGCGACTGGTAAAGTGCCAAGCGGTCGCCGAATCATGCGCCTGCTGGTTCAAGGAGCAGCTACGAACCTCGTGAATCTTTGACGCCCTTCTCAGGAACTGAAGGGGAAGAGGGCGGCCCAGTTGGAACTTGAGCACCCGCAGAATTGTCATCTCCATGTCTCGGATCTGGGCGGTGGTGTAGGCCCGGTCGGTAACGTAGGCAAAGTCGGAGATCTCAGGTGGATACATCTCCTCGTATTTGGAAGCGAGGAACATTGCAGTCACACCGACGAGCTGCAGCTGCTTCTTGGGGACCGGTTTCTCCTGCGTCAGGCGCAACCACATGGCAGGGTTCAGAAACTCATGCTGCGCTGTCGACTTCAGTAGACTGAAGAGACCAAATACCAACGGGCTAACGGTGGACACGGTTACTCACCTGAAGAAAGCGGTCAATGATTCCTACGGTCATGTACATGGTCTCCTGCAGTAGGCGGAACTTCAGGCTCACTTGCACCAGCCAGTCAATGAGAATGGCCCGCATGTTACCAGTGACCTCCTGACCCTGCAGGTAAGCGGGTTTGACGTTCTGCTCGACCTGAGGGAACAAGAAACTGTTAAAACTCAATTTTAACAGTAACAGAAGTTTGCGTTTGTGGGGGCGGGTTAGTTTCACTTGCCTCAAGTTGTCTGAGGTACTTGTAGATGTCTTTGACGTATTCGCTGCAGAGCATGGGGTTGTCATAGTCGTCTGCATCCACGTCCCGGACAGCGGCGTGAAGCATGACATCAGAAAACGCTTGGCAGAGGTCAGCGGGCGCGCAGCCAGAGGTCTCCATTGGCGTGGGGGATGCTGGCTCCGGGAGAACCTGGAACCATGCAAAGCCCCAACGGGAGTTCAACAAAAAAAAAAACTGAAGCGACGGCAGGCCATTCGTTTCAGATAGCAGTTGACATGCAACTCACCTCCACCTCCACCTGCACCTTGGGCTCAGGCTTGGCAGGAACAACATTTTCTGGTTTAGGTTGTTCAACAACTGCTTTCCTGGTGACTGGTTTGGTCTTCTTAGTGGGCTCTCGCTTGACAAGCTTAAACGGGAAAAATTTGAACAGTGAAAACTGCATTGTGATAAATCACTAAACAAAAAGCGTATGTGGCAAAGACCCTAGCAGTTTTTTGTTTTTTTAGCACAAGTGTGAAAAAGCCCTTTGCCAATACATAAATATAGTCTTTGAGAATGTATTAAGAGCAATTATGTTGCAATTTCCTAATCAGAAAAGGTACAAAGCAATAGAGATGACCCCCCCCCCACTATTCAAATACAAGTGGTTGCATGAGGTGGCAACATGTGTTAAATGGTTTTGCCCCATACATGTGCATAGAGGTTAGACAATCCAGAATACAAGTCGGTAACGTGACTACATGACGTGAATCTGTACATTAGTACGGCTCCTGAATGCATGGATATGTGGCTGGTGCCTTTACATCGAATGAAGAAACTTCGGAGTACAATCAAAGAAGAGTTAATTCACATGAGCGTTGATAATCAAGTCAAATATTTACCTTCTTCTGAACTTCTTTGTTGTTATTTGCGATGTTTCCGATTTCTCCGAGCGCAGCTCGAGGCTTCATTGCGGGCCCGGCGGCCGTGCAGGCCTTCCCAGCGAGGTCGGGCCTGGTGGAAGCCAAGCGGTTCTGCAGCAACATTTAATAACTTATCGTCAAAGTGGAAGTGAGTGTTGCGCGTTTTTAAGAGCACTGCCGTCTCTAGTCAAATTCCTATGATGGAATCTTTTGTGCACAAGAGCACACCGAAAAAAATGAAGCCGGAAGGGAAATTAACTTTCCATCTAATAATAGAAATTAAATAATTACAGGTTTCTTTTACACGCCTTTCAAGTCGAAATACACATAAGTAGAAATGGGGGAAAACAATCCATTGAAAGCACTTACTCTGGTCACTCGAAGAGCCATTTCGGGATGTGTGTTTCTTCAACAACGAGGCGGACAATCGTAATGGAGAACGATGCGGTGTAGGTTCAGGTTGGCAGTCTTGGTTTAAATCCTCGCTCGCTGCAAGCTGATTCGCTGTGACCGGATTTCTCCAGGCCACTGATTGGCTGAGCGCATGTGTTTCAAATGCGTTCCCACGACAACCAGTGGTCACGTGAGCCACATTTGCTCTCCTCCTTTTCCGGCTATATGCTTGTTTTTACTTTTATCTTTATTTGACATATGTTTTAATTTACTTCTTAGAATAATATAGTATATAGTGAACCTGTTTCCGATCCGGCCTCGTGTAACAAAATGAGAGTAAACGTCCAGAAGTAAACGTATTAGAATTAATTACTCAGATTACTCGCGTGTTCACTATAATCATCATCGTAATTGAATTTTAGATTATGTATCCCCCTCAAAAACAAGACGTAGACAATACATGGTTTTTTTCTTTTCCTGTCTGAAATGTGTCCTAACTATTATATCATCCCAAAAAAAGGCAGTTCACTGTCTAGCAAATTTTCTTTTACTTTGAATGTGCTTTATTTTGTGTTCAGTGGATCAATATGTGGAATTCCTTACAATCGGAATTCCGTTTGAATTGAAACTCAAATTGAAACAGCATTTTAAAAGAGCAACCGGTCAAGCAATGTTGAATGAGCTAATATTTTTCATTGGGTTTTATGTTGTTTATTAGGCCACTGTTTTGTCTGTGTTTGCATAAAGGCCCATTTATAAATACAAAAAATAAGCAGACAGATCACTCAGTATTAAATTATTAGGGTTAAAAAAACTGAACCGGATCCACACTTTTTTTTGCTCTGTGGACCCGTGACTCCATTGCCCCTGACCCTCTGCCGAGACCTGTTTAGTATTCTAACCATCTTTGATGGACCCATAGCTTGAAGACTGCTAATAAAAGTAACGTGTTGAAGGGCGACGCGTCTAAGAAGGTGGTGAAAAAACATGGTGAAGAAACAAACTGGCGATCACGGCTCAGTAAAGACATCTCTCGAGGAGCCAGAGTTTACGAGGAGCATTCGAAGGCAACACATCCTCTCAATCTTGTTTTCCTGTTCTAGTTTAGGTGAACGCTGCACGTCGACCCTCCCCAATTAAGACTGATTGATTGAGAAGCAACACGACGTTGAAGCTAAAGTCTGTATGCTCTGCGAATAGTAGGTTTTTACTTTTTTTAATGGCCCGAAATGTTTCGTGGCTATACGCAAACACTCATACCGTCCAATCAGAAGAGCACAATGTCCGTGACGTCCACCGGAAAGAGAAAGGACGCGAACGCACCACGTAAAACAAAACAGATGCCACCACGAATCAGCGACGGAGGACGCCAACGAAATTAACCAGCAGTGCTCCCAGGCGGAGTGGAGTCTTACGTTTTATTTCGGGACTGACCAGAGAGCCACAAACACGACTTACCTAGACGGCCCTAGTTAATTAGCCCCGAGGTAAATGCAGGCACCCCGTCGATCAACAAGTTTCAAGAAGAAAACATCGTTTCTCGGACACGCGGTAAGTTATCTGCCGTTAATGTGACCGCAGCGAGCTAAGCTTAGTTAGCCGAAGTGTGTGTTTGAGGAGTTTCGGTAGTGAGCAGTAAAACAAGAACATAAGCAATGCTTAAGTCACATTTTGAGCTTAGAGTCTTTAACGCTGGCCTCGTCGATGCCGATTAACTTAAACGAGGATTAACTGAGTATTCGCTTGGTTAACACGTGTCGTCGAAAACTTTTTTTATTGAACTAACGTTAGGAAGTTTAGTATTAACGTTAGTAATTGAAATAAGACAACTGGATGTTATGTCAACAATTGTATAACACCCGAGTCTGCTATTAAACAACTTAAACCCAGTGTCATCAATTGCTTTGCCTTTCAACAACATGTCCACTAATTAAACCTGAAGACGAGTTGTATTTGATGGAGCTAACCTTTCTTTATTGCTAACGTTACATCAGGGTTTTGTGATTAATTAACGTGCCGTTCTAAACGTTTTGACTGATTGTGGTTATTTCCATTGGTAATACTCGTTAAAGCATCGGATTTTAAGTTATTGTCAATATACTTGGTTAACTTCTAGTGGTATTAAAAACAAAAGAACAGACAAAGCAAATGCAACACCAGTGCTAGCATATCCCTACCATTAGCATGCTAGTAATAGCATGATCACGAGAATCTGGCTACTAACTAGTTAGCTTATGAACAATTCGACTAAATCATTTACAACACAATTTTCCTTTACTTGTCTGCCCTTTTAACTTTACACTCTACCTTCGAGGTAACAAACCGGACCGTGTCATGTACCATGTAGCATTTAGCTAACTATTATCAAAGTGAGGCTTTAGCAGCAGCCATTAGCTTGCTAGCATGACTCAGTGGATTCGACGAAGTAACACGGCTGTGGCCCGGTGCGTTTGTCAGGAAGCAGCCACAGACTGCAGCCACTTAAATGGTATCGATGACTTTAAAAACACCGCCGTTTAGCACGTCTAAGTATAGATGCTTTTTTTGAGTCGCTAGCATAACCCCAGTACCACCAACTGTTACATGTTTAACTACAGTGGGTGTTTTGGGCTTTTGTCTCGCAGATAAACGTGCTCGTCTTATTGTGTGTTTCTACAGGTGTTGAGCTGCAGCTCGTAGCCATGTTAGAATGTGTCTTACGATTCTGTGACCACACACCGCCTCGACTACGTAACGCTACGATTGGGCAAACTCTGTTTACGTCTGCTCCGTGTGTTATGAGAGTTGACGGTGTCCATGATTGGGAAACCTACACCGGTTAGGTTTCATATTTTGAAACGAAAGCATCTCTGTTAACCGGATTCTTGGGATTGTCTATATTTAGATGTGTTCACTGCCTTACTGCGTTAAAGTCACTAGTGTGTGCCAAGGAGATCACAATGTACTTGTGTGACAGTGGAAGGCCAGAACTCCCACGTGAGCCTGGGACACTGCTGTTTATACACACACACACACACACACACACACACACACACACACACACACACACACACACACACACACACACACACACACACACGTGCAGCGGTGTAGGCTCGACATTTTCCTGGAGGACTGATGCAATTACCCAGAACTTGATGTGATTACTTCTCTTTTTGGTTACCCCATGTTTTTTCTGTAATGATTAACTGTCCAGCCGAAGACATTGCCTAGTATAATTGTTTACCTTTTTTTATTTAACAACATTTAAGGTTCTCAAAAGTTTAACATTTTCTAAACGTCAACAGCCAAACAAGAATTTAGGCCATTTGAAAGTGGTCTAAAATTGACCAGAACTCTTGAGCCACCTTCTATCTTATCCAGGGCTTCCAACCGCATCTCAAAGTCTTCATCAGAGAAGATATTTGCATACAAACACTTTGAAACCGGGCGGGTTGCAATCTCTATCCAAAATCGCTATCTCCAAGACACAGAATTACAGATATAATGATTGCGTGACACAGCAAATTTGATCTGTTTTGTTGTTGCAGCCGTGATATCAAATGAGTCACTTTTTAGAGAAAAGTCTAAATGTATGAGTTGTTCAAGTGTCACACCAACCACATCCTCATTCTATCCGGGGGTTGGTGTATCAAATTATATATTTATTTTAGCGTTGTCAATAGATTAAGTGAAAGGGGAAACACTTTCTTTAATTTTTCCGTGGCAGACTACTCCCCTCCCCCGTTGGCCAACTGCTGTCCCCCCTGAAGTTGTAGACCTTGGGAAAACACTGCCATCTAATGTCTTTGTGGCAGTCCTTTGTTACTTCTGTTTCACTAATGCTCATTCCTCCACCATTCCTCTCTGTTTGTATGTTCAGGTACACCAGCCGGCAGACATCATGGCCCAGGAGACCAATCAGAGCCTAGTTCCTACACCCTGTGCTAATGGCTGTGGTTTCTATGGCAACCCTAGGACTAATGGCATGTGCTCTGTCTGCCACAAGGAGCACCTGTCGAGGCAGAACAATGGATCAGTCAGTACTTTGACTGCCCTTGGTGAGACCTGTGGTGTCGTCGCACCCCCTTTTCTTTCTTTTTTTCCCCGTGTGCACGTTGGATAAAACTCCCAACCCCTGTCCGACTGTAACATGTGGTGAAATCTCCTCCAGGTGGCAGCGGCGGCGCCGCAGCTGAGGCCTCTGCCATGCAGAGGTTAGAGGCCACCCTGAATAATGCCGCAGCAGCTGCGGTCGCTGCTGCAGAGTCGGCCGCCGAGGCCGCTGCCTCTGCTCAGGCTGCTGCCAGCGAGGCGTTCAGGTGAGTGGATCCCCGGGTGACGTTGCACTGCCTTCAAACACGGCTGGTTGCCTTCTTGAACGGGAAGTTGAGAACTGAATTATCTACTCAGCTTTTAAGTCATTAGCAGCATACAGCATTTAGTTTTAATATAATTCTTGGTTTACCAATAAATCGGTTCGCGTCAAACCTCAAATTATAGGTCAGCAAAAAACGCACACATTTGTTTTAAGCAGTACAGAGAAAATGTCGTCTATCAATTAGATTTAATCTTGGATCTACTAAACAGCGATTGGTTTTTAATTGTGCGACAGAGGCTCTACTTCTAATCCTGGATGTAATCATTTTAAACATAGTTTTGGTAAACCCTGACTAGAACTAATATTTAATTAAACTAATCAATGTTAATTTGACAAAGCCTTAATGTTAGTTCACAGCAACTTCCAGGCTGCTGACGTAAACAATGTTAAATGTAAACTTAGTTTACTGTCAATGTTCCTTAAATGCAACGTCAGCGGGTAATTCATGTGGAATTGACTTCACCAAACCTGAAACCGTTATTCAGTGTTAGGATTTCATGCTGATCTAGTGTTTTTTACTCATTTTCTCCCGTTTATCATTTTGCAGTGGCGTTTCAACTGCGGTGTCTGTAACGCAGCAGATGACTGAGATGAGTCTCTCCCGTGAGGAGAAAGGAGCAACAGGGAGCAAAGTAGAGCTCTCAGAGCCAGGTGGGTTGGATTTGGGTTGGAAACTAAATTTGTAAATTGAACATGTCCTTTTTTCCTTCAGCATGTTATTTGTCTTGGTGTCCAATGTTATCTACCGACCGCCATGTCAAATTCCTTGTATGTCTAACGTACTTTGGCAATAAATCTTCCTGACTTCTGATAAGTGACTCAAAACGGATCATTTCACAAATACAAACTCTCCAAAATGTTCTGTGACGTATATACTGCGTATCCGCATTGCAACATGAGCGTTGTTTATAGTTTATCTTCTCCCAGGATAGACTTTTGCTCCAAGAAAGGATTTTGTTTTTTACTGTGTCGGGTACCTTATCTTTTCTTATGCGTCTCCAGTTTTGACTCAGCCCACATGCTCAGCCGCTCACCCCTCCACCGCTGACAGTGACCAGTCCAAAGAGCCCGAGCCCCAAAAACCCAAGAAGAATCGCTGCTTTATGTGCCGCAAGAAGCTCGGCCTCACAGGTAAGAAAACCGAGGCAACAGCCGACTTAATGTCAGGAGAAAAATCTTCACTATTCCCAGGTTTGTTCTTTTTCTTCTGGGTCAAGTTTGTTTATGTACTTTCGTTCAAGTATTATAATGCAGTTCTAATTTACAAGATGAAATGTTGTGAGGTGTTCAAAACGAGATGGCGGGGGAAGCTGTGAACGCCAGTACAATTCAGTCGACGCAGAGCAGCGAGCGATGCTTATCTGCCATTTTGCCACGCAGACCACAGCAGATAAACTCATTCTGTTTTCATTATAAAAAATAAGATGACGCAAATGTTAAAGGAGCATGGCCGAGAGAAGAGTTCAGACGTTACTGATCACACGTAGCACCATGTCGACCCCTCCCCCGCCGCTTCCTGTCTACCTCTTCACTGTCCGATGAAGGCTAAAATGATTTTCATTAAACCGCGATTCAAAGTTTTCGCAGAAGTTCATACCTTGTTGAACCGTAATAACATTTTAAAAGAACTTGCAACTGCAAAAGGCATCCGTTGGGTCTAAAGACGTGTTGATCTGTCTCCACTAGTCTTTTTAAAGGAGGAGTTGATGTTTTGCAGTCAAGACTGTTTAATGAGCACTACATTGATTTGACGCGTCCTGTCCTCTGCTTTCAGGTTTTGACTGCCGCTGTGGGAATCTGTTCTGTGGAATTCACCGTTACTCAGATAAGCACAACTGTCCGTACGACTACAAAGCCGAAGCTGCTGACAAGATTCGCAAAGAGAACCCCGTGGTGGTGGCTGAGAAGATCCAGAGAATATGAACGGGACTCTCCGTTTGACTTTGAACACTGGGATCTAATTGGCTTTAAAGAAAGAAAAGAATGGACTTGAGCCCAACCTTCATCCTGAAGGACCTGTCCCCCCCTCCCCCCTCCCCTTGTTTGTTTTGAATTCAAGCTCCCTCCCCCCAGTGCATGAGAGTTCACATATTTTCAGCTTTCATTGTTGGTCATGTGTGCGTCTAACACTTTTGAAGGGTTGTGTGTGTGTGTGTGAGGAGGAGGAGGAGGAGGAGGAGGAGGAGGAGGAGGAGGAGGGGGGGGTGGGGGTGGGGGTGGTGTCATTGGGAGCGACTGCGGGAGGCTGCTGACTAACCAGTCGAGTCCTTTTCAGAAGAAGTTGATGGCGGTGCCAGTCGAGCCGCTCGCTGATGGCGCCGTCTCAGCCCTGCTTGCTCTCTGCTGGCTCGAGTAGCAAAAATTGGATATTTTTCATCTTTTAGTTGTCGGCCTCCACCTTAACTCCCAGTTAGTCGTCATCCATAAATGCTGAACCTCATCCACTCTGCCCCCCCCTCCCCCCTCCCCATCTAACACACAGCTCAGACAAATTGCTGAAGAGACTTTGAAAAAGAGACTATGTTGCGAGCCTTTGCCTGCTGGCCGGCTGCATTCCTTCCCTCCAGCTGTGTGTGTGTCAGTAGAAACGCAGCTGGACAATTTACTGTCTTTTAGTTGCCCCCCCCCCCCCCCCCCCCCCTGTGTTTGGGAGGGGAAAGCCACAATCCCCCCCGGTTAAAAACATCCCCTGAAAGCCCCTTATGCCAGCCCCCCGAGCGGAAAAAGTTTGTTTCCCTTTTTGTGTTTGTTTTCCCAGAGAAGTGGTGTGTATGCCGTGTGTTGGGTTATGACAAGTAGCGTCAACTTGTATTAATTTTTGCCTTCGGAAGGGTTTAGCTCCACTAATATTTCATCTTTTACTTCACCTTTGAATGTTTTTCCTCTTTTTAATGTGAGCTGACGAATTCAAAAAATTGGGAGTGTTTTGACTCCTGCATTTTGTGTGTGTGTGTGTGTGTGTGCATGAAGGCGTGTGTGAGAGAGAATGTGTGCGGCTGTTGAGTCGTTGTATGCTGCGGTGACTTAGACCTGTGCTCGTAGGTTATTAATCAATTTCCCGTTTTTTGATTGTTTTTGGTCTGGCTGCTTATTGTGTTTTTTGTTTTTTTATCCTTTTAGTTATGCAAGTTTGTACAAACCTCTTTATTTATATACTGCAGTGTGTAATCTTCCAGTAATAAAGAACTAATTGTATGATGTAAATAAATTATGTTCACAAATATAAAACAGAGTTCATGGCTCTTCAGTATCACAGTTGTCCTGATGTGGTCTTCATCCTAAATGTAGCCAGTCCTTCCATTTCTGACCTTTTTATCCATATGGTTTAATTCAGTCCTCACTGGCATCTTAGTGTTTGAATACGCTTTGTAAGCTTATCTGTTACCAGCACGTCAACAATGCATCCACGGTGCGACATCCTTCCGTTCATCACCCGCCGACCCTGGAGACCGTAGGTTTACACGCGCGCACAACACGGGACACGACGAAGACACACTGCATTGTGGGAAAACCTGGTTTCTTTTCAGGTGCAAATACTGACCACCCAAAGTTTTCAGTTGTAGTTCTTGCATTGCTGTTTCAGTAGTATTCTCTGGTGTCCCTGCTATGAAGTTCCGAATATAATTTGTCCACCTGCAATACTTTCACTAATTCTTGATTTTTTTTTTTTTTTTTTTTTCATTATATGAATCAAGCACACAAAGATGTGTTATTTTGTATTCATAAGACAATGGGAAAACAGTACTTTTCTACCTCATCTATAATACTTGTTTTGTGTATTTTATTTACTTCGCTTGCTCGCAACATCTGTAAAACAGTGCGTTCATTTTTAAGTTTTGCAGTACCATACGTATATGTGCAAATACATTTAAGTAAATGGCCACTAGGTGGCATAAAACATTCATTTGTGTGTTTGGGCTTTAGTTTTAATGCTAAAGACTCAAACTAAAAACGTACTCCATGAATAAAGACCACTTTAAATATAGCGAGATGACGCACTCCTCGCTGTTTGGACACCGTGGAAGGGGGAAGTTTGTACGGGCGTAGGTAATAAGGGGGGAGAAGTAGGGAAGCGATGTGATCCATCACAAGATGATCTGTAAGTCTGATATTGAGAGTAACGTTCACCATTTTAGCCATGTAAATAAAATGCATGTTGAAAGTTGAATTTGTGGATGCATGGGGATGTATGAAATATTGATTTTAGCTTGTTAGACATCCAGGTGCATGTGTGTGTGTGTGTGTGTGCACGTACGTACCAAAACCCGATTGACAAATTGGACAGCTGGACGAAGACACACATTTTATAACGGTGCTTTATATAATGCTTGTTGATGGACATGCCGGTCGAAATTAAATCTGTGCCTCCATATTGTGTAAATATGGGGATTACGGCGCACAATATTTAAGGGAAGACATCTATAGTGTTGCACTCAACTGTTGACATATGATGGGAAGATCATGCAGAAGGAAGTGAAGCATGCTGGGCCTTGTGTTATGGCGTGCCCGTGTACGGCAGCCGATGGATCTGGTTTCCTCGTATTTATTTTATCATCTTACAAAAGCAGCAGGATGAATTCTGAAGTGTAATATTATCTTCCCATATTAAGCTGAATGCTTCAAAACAAATTGGGCGGCGCTTCGCAGTGCAGAGTTTGTGAGGACAAAGAAGTGGGCTGTATTGCATGTGCCAGGTCCGTCCCCGGACCCGAACCCAAAGACCAAGCTGAAGCAAAACTGCCCTCAAGCGGATAAGGCCGTCGATGGATTCCACGCTTCAAGATTGGAAAACCAAATCTTTACTTTACTCATTACTCTGTCCTACTGCGTTTGGTGCCTTCAGACGGGAGGACTTTGTACGTTCCTTTCTGCAATGTCTGCACCTTTTTCCTTGATTTGAATGTAAATAACCTCAAATTGAAGCCCAACGTCTGCACTCAAAGCTCATCTTGTTTATTCACATATTTATGGCCCGACTATAGTTGTGAAAAGAGGTTCTAAAATCTAAAAAGAGGTTCTAAAATCTATTCAGCATGTTAGTCACACTCAAGATGGATATGTACATGCATGCAAGTGTCACCCCCCCCCCACCCCAGCGCCCATAGGACTGTGCTTTGAATATATACATTACAATAGCTAAAAAATGCCCACAACAAAATGTTTGTGTCTGTGGTGAATTACAACTGTGCTAACGGGCCTCTACATGTGTGTCTACATGGGGACCAGTGCCCAGACTCCCTGAACACAGCAGCTGTGTCCCTTGAAGCACGACTCCTCGGGGGTGTGAACCCTGTCTCCCTCGTGTCAACTGACAGCCCTGTAAAGGGGTCATTTTGGATGTGAAAAGTGAGCTCCGCTCTAATATTCAATTCGTGGATCTGAGGTGTTTCGGCTCTGCTCACAGTTAGCTGGACTCTCACAGCTCCGCCTGCTGGGTCTCTTCCTGAAAATGTCAAAAACACAAATAGCGTAAGTGCAAAGTCATCTCAGAGTGCCAACTGTTTGCCCAATGAGGCTCACCTCGAGAAACCTAAACCTTCATTAAATCTTTAGGGCCTCTGGTCTCCTTGCACGTGTGTCTGTGTGGTCTCTAATTACAAGATGAGTGAGTGTCTCTAGGCGATGGAGATGCTCCCTTGGCCATTGGCGATAAAAACAAAAGCGGAAACGTCCGTCAAGCCGAGCTAAGGGGCACAGTGGCCGATGTTGAGGCTCAAGGAGCTGATGTGACCCACAGGTGTATTTCCCCGCCTCCTCTGTACTTCTGATTCAATGGATATCCACATGGCCAAACTGCTGGAGAATAACTCGATAAGCCACACCAGAATTTCTTTTGGTGTCCGTAATTTGCTTCACCTGTCCAAGAAGACCTGGTTGCCTGAAGTCGTCGCCATAGCGACGGCGCTGTCAGATACCTGAGTGGGGCGCTGGCGGTCGGCCAGGGCAGAGGAGCGCGAACCAGCCGGCGTGTAGAGGACACACGGGACGGACGCTGTTTTTAATTTGCATCATGCCGAGAAAAAGAGACACAGTTTCCAACGATGATGGTGAGTAGAAGATTAGAGGATTGGAACGTTTGCTTTTTAGGTCACAGTGATTTAAGTTGTGTTGGTTATAAAAATGTAACCACTGTGAAGAGTTACTTTTAGTCAAGGGATTGATACCAAATGTTTAATAAGGATTAAGTTGCATTCTGGGTGAAAAAATTGGAGACCCAATTGTATAAAAATATATAATATATATAATAATATCTCTAAAACTGCAGAGATTTCCGTATTTCAGCATGCTGACGTTGGCTTCTTACAATGAGCACAAAGTGCAGCCGATGGGACTGTCGTTAGTTTGTGAGCTTTTTGGTCATTCGAAAAAAATTTCTGTATTTCTTTCATTCGAGTTTTTTTTTTTTTTAAAGAATAACCTGTGTTTCTTTCATTTCAACATGTTTTTGTAACATTTAAGTCACTCCCCGTACTACGATACATTATTCATTGTTTCTCTTTCCCCTAAAAGGAAAAAAGGAACAATCGTTTCAAGTGTCAGCGCTCTGTGGCCCCATCGCATCTCGCTAATGTACTTCTGAGCTTACCGTCTTACTGCTTTGTGTATTCTAGAGGATTCTTGACATTTAAACATATATGTGCTTTTCCCTTTCCCAATAAAACAAAAACAAATTGGAGAGGTGTTCTTATTATCGACAGGAAATGTCTTGGAATCTTGAGGCAGCCAATGGATAAATTATTTGACAGAGAAGTCTCAATTACAAGAAAGGGTGACTGTTCTTTGTGAGTACAGAACATTTGTCAGTCAATACATTGATGTCACTGTCGCTTTGTGTCCTTCCTCAGTTGAGATCGAGGTCGACGGGGATCTGAGCGGCAGCGATGGTGAGCGCATCCAACGCCACGTCATGGGACTGGTTTGAAAATGATTATTCTACAGCCATCAAATTACAACGACGCCAAATGCAATGTTTTCTGTGTTTTCCTTGGTCACCATGTAGACGACGGACCCCAGAGGAGACCCAACAGGAGGCAGGGAGCCGGACGAGGAGGCGCCAAAGGAAGAGGCCGGGGGAAAAAGGCAGCCAGTGAGGATGAAGACGAGGACGATGAAGATGAAGCGCCAAGGGGACGCAGGGTAGCAAACAAAAAGAAGCCCACCAAGAAACGCGGGGGTGACGAAGAGGA